TATCAGACCAATTAGCTTGATACTGAATATATTTGTTAGTACTGTAAATAAGAAAGCAATATTTATTTATATTATGAAAGTTAATATTAATGATAAGCGTTGATAATTGAGATATTTTGTTTATAATCTCTAACAAATTTCATAAATCACTAAAGAACCATAGTTCAAATGGATCCAATGAAACTTCAACTGGCCCTGAAGCTGAACAGATTTCATTTTCTAGAAAAAAAATAATAATAAATCAGTTCCGCTTCAAGGTTCCCAATTCTTCTGTCTCCTTGATGATCGGGAACCAGCTCTCATGTAGCTTGATGGTGATGATGATGACGGGGATGCTCCTGTGCAAAAGATTATAATTCCTTTTCTTTTCTTCGGTCTTCATTCAATTTTGATTTTCTTGATTTTTTTAAGGCTTAATTATGTACATGCTCCCTGTGCTTTCCAACTTATCTCAGATTACCACCTGTGGTGGAAAACGTCTCAAAGTACCCCCCAACGTGCAAAAAACTGTCTCACGTTACCCTTTCCGTCAGTTTTTTTGAAGTTCCGTTACGAACGTTACTGTTCATCTCCCCCAAAATTCCAGAACAGCAGCTCCTCCCATTTGTTACTGTTCATCGCACCAGTTTTTGGGCTGCCATCGCCTCCTCCGGCCACCCCAAGCGACTACATGGATATCAAAAGAACCAGCACGTTGTCCTCTACCACCCTCACATCTCAGCCGCTGCCAACCGTCGTCTGGATCACCGAAAAAAGCAAGAAATTGGCCGGTTTTTACCCAAAATCTCCATTGCTCGTTCGGGCGATTCCGAGCACCATTTTCTTCGATCCAGGTATGATTTTTCAACCTCTCGAGTTGTTCTTGCTGCTAGTTGTGTTGGTTAGGAGAAATTTCTGAGTTTTGGAGGGTAAATAAGCGATGAACAGTAACAAAGGGGAGGGGCTACTGTTCTGGAATTTTGGGGGAGATGAACAGTAACATTCGTAACGGAACTTCAAAAAAACTGACGGAAAGGGTAACGTGAGACAGTTTTTTGCACGTTGGGGGGCACTTTGGGACGTTTTCCACCACAAGTGGTAATCTGAGATAAGTTGGAAAGCACAGGGGGCATGTACATAATTAAGCCTTTTTTTAAATATAATTATTTTATTTTTATATATTTATAAATTCCATTTTCAGTCTTAATTTACTAGGTCCATGGGTCTTCTTTTTGTATTTTGTCTTTATATATTTATAAATTCCAACGTGGATAACCTACACCAATTTTCTTCATTCTCATATTGCTAACATTCAATTAAAACATGAACTGCAATGGATGACAATGTCAAATAAAAGGGAAAAAAATTGCACCGCCAACTAACCACCATTGGGTAAACAGCCTGCATTAAACACAACATGCCACCACTCTAGAAGATAATGGGAGAATTGTGCGCCAAACAAAATAACTGCAAAATTTTCATCAGTTCACATGAAATCTTTCATTAGAGCACAGGATGGCATCTGCTCATCAAAGTCGGATGATAATATTCTTGGCTTACTGGTCAAAATCATCAACCATAAACAAATCCGAAATCCTTTTCTGTAACTTAACAAATACAGAAACAAATTCAGTTCGGAAAAACACGAGAGCTTATAGGCGACTAATGACAGCCTCCACCTCAGAAGGGGTATACAGATGGTATGTTGGAGCAACCTTTGCGATATCAACATTATTGGGAGTCACCTGCAAACAGTAAAATAGGTCAATTAAAGTAACCCTATGCAAACTAGATATATGTAAACACTAAAATAGGTCAAAATCCATATCACTTATAAAGGTTCACCTTTTCTTCCATAACTTGCTTAAGAATAGACAGAGCAATTGTCTCAGCTTCTTGAAGAGTCAACTCCTGAAACCCATCATCAAATGAAAATACTGATTTAAATGGTTGAAAAGGCATGAAGCAGAAAGCATTTCCATAACTTGATTCCACCAGAAAATTGTCAAAAAAGTAAAATGGCTTCGTCCTAGAAGGATGACTTCAATCATGTGTACAAGCAAATTCATCTTAAACATATGGCTAACCACTTCAGCATTTCATGCTCCATAAATTATAAGGCGACTTGGTAGAATATGTACACAAATAAGAAAACGAATAAGTTATAACAAGCAGAGATACCTTGTTGTATTGCTCTTGCAGAGAGCTGTCTGCACCTTCTGAACCTGAGCCAATAGCTTTTGCATTGCATTGCCAAAATGTGCCAGATGGATCAGTATAGTACCTGCATATCAGAAGTTTTCTTTCCTGGGTCAAGGAGACAAGAACATACAAAACAGAAGCAGCAAGAATTTGGAAGTAAACTTTAGAAAAAAAGAAAAAGAAAGAGAGTATAACTTATTAATGTTTACATCTGATCAACAATACTACATAAAACTACATATCCCTAAGAAACAAAACTATTGTAGCATTACAAAGGTCTACAATGTGCTCTCCTGCTTACATCAAGCTAAAAGAAAAAGCACAGGCATCTCAACTTAGAGCCAAACAAAAGAACTGAGACCGCTTGTATACATAAATGGTAGGAATATAACAAAACATGGAATGGTAATTGTCAAAATGATATCTTACTGCAAAGATCCTTCTTAACTCTCTCTTTGGGATTGCATTGACATATATATGCCAAATGCCTCATTAGTGATTCATTTTTAAATAAGCACAGTCTTTCTCTCTTTAATGGTAATTCACACACACAATCATATTATACGTAGAGTGGTGATTTCCCCACTCCAATTTTATCCACTTACACTCCATTTTATAACTAAAAAAGGAGTGTAAGTGGATAAAATTGGAATGGGGAAATCATTACCCTATACATATCTCACAACAAGAAAAGAAAAAGAAAAAGGAAGTATCACTTACAAGCTGGGCCCATGCTCATCATGACCTGCAATTAGAAGAGATACTCCAAATGGTCGAGACTGCAAACGAGAACATAAAAAACCAATTATATAGCAATAACATATAATATCACAGGGATAATATAGGAACAATGCAACAGAGATCTAATAACAGATGCCAAAAGATGCTTCACTCATATTAAAAAGAAAGAACAGTATGTCCCTGGTTCATCTCTTTATCAAAGATAAAACAGGCATCCTAAAGTGCTTGATTATGAATTGCTACGAAATAAACAGAAAAATCAATAATGAAGAGGGGTATTGGTAAAGTATAAGCACAATTTCACTAATCTTAATATCAAAATTTTCTTCCAAACTAAGCAAATTCAATTATTTGACTATATACATAAACTTTCATATAAACCAAATAAAATGGTTATTACCATGGACTCTTCATCACCTTCACCAAACCGAAGGGCCAGATCACAAAGAGCTTGTGTTGTAGATTCCACAGTCATTGGCTCACCATAGGAGAACCTATGATTCTGCAAAAATTGGAAGTTAGAATACAAGTATAAAGGTTAGAATATCAATCTGTAAAACCAATGACAACAGTACCTGAGTTTCAACGCGTGCATGCTCAACCAGTGTACGAGCATCAGCAATCAGTCCACTCATGGCACATCCTATATGGTCATCAATTTCCATTATTTTCTCCACACTGCTGGGTTCCTGAAGGTGAAAAGTATAGAGTATCATTCATCAGTGAAACAGAAAATGTCTAAATTTGAAACATGAACATATTATCCATGGAAACAAGATAGAGCTGGATAAAGAAAAGGTAGAATTTGGAAAATAAAAATTGATTGACCCAATACAATTTGAAAATGAGATAAAATATGAACTGTCAGAGGCTTTATTGCTCCTAACTTAAGCATGATTCTTAAACAACAGGATACACAAAAAGGGTGCCATGTGTTCTAGGACAAAGGGCCTCTAACAGCTTTGGCTTAAACTTGTAGCTATAACAGTATTAACTATAAAAAAAGGTAAGTACAAAGAATTCATATAAGGAGATAATTTGCATACCAGTAAAGGCGAAGTGATACGTTTTTCCACAGCAAGCACAACACCCTCTTTTGTCTTTAACCCAATAGCAGTCGAACCCAACTGTAATTCATCAAAACCCAACTTTATCCAGTAATTATACAGAGAAAATGTGTTAAAACAATAGCTATTTTTGTGTCACTGACACTCTGCTTAATCCTACATTTTATGCAAAATGAGGCTTTTTTTTTCCTTTCATTTTTTTAAGAATCTGAAAGAGAGTGAAAGTGGGATATAATAAGGTCGTACCTTGATGGCCTCAATGGCATACTCAACCTGAAACAACCTGCCTTCAGGGGAGAAGGTGTTTACTCCTCTGTCATACTCAGTCCTTCACAACACACACGTACCCAAAAAATAATCAACAAGGAAAGAAGTAAAAAAAGAATATGTGTATGCATATAATTAAGACATATAATTTGCTTAAGAAAACTCCTCAGAAATGAAATTCACCTTGTGAGAAACATCTTGGTTTGATTGGAACTTTGAGATTGATCTGAATCAACACAAATAAACAAGAAGTGAATAAGGACAGATCTGTCTCTGGCTCGTAAAACAACGAAAGGACTTTTACCCGAGTACCTTCTATACTGAAAAAGATCGGGAGAAAACAAATACTATGAAACAAAATTGAAATTTCGTGCGACCCAAACAGAACACTGTAAGAAATCTTCAGAGAGAAACTCAGTTCTCTATCAACTTTCAGTGACCATTCAGTAAAGATAGAAGGAACTAATCATGTGTTAATGTAGATAGAGAGAGAGAGAGAGAGAAAGAGAGAGTTACCGAATTAGTATGTGATTTGCTTCACTGCGATGAGAGCTCCTTCTGCAGAGAGATGGTGATTTATGATATGCTTTCGTGTTGGAGAAGAAGGGTTTTTCCTTTTTCTTCCTCTCCTTCAAAAAAGAAAAAGAAAAAGAAAAAACCTCTAAACAGAGTCGGGTCGGGTCAACTTTGTTTTGGGCCAAACCCATGCAAAGTTGAGTACGAAGCTGAAACTCATAAAGGTTCATTGAAATTTCTCGGCCTAATAATTTGAAAGCCCACCCAACATGAACCAAACTAAAACCTTCTTCTCCAACAAGTAAAGCTCAGTCTTCAGACCCCTTTTATGTTCTTTTGCCAAAACTTCCGTCAAATCTCTCTCCGTTTTTCAGAAACACAGAAAAAAGCTTGAGTCTTTCTCTCTATAGCACGCAATGGGAGACAGTCAGTACTCGTTTTCTCTCACCACTTTCAGGTAACTCTCCCGCTCTATCGTTATTCTTCACATTTCCAGGTTCATCATATATATGTGTGCGCGCGCGTTGGTGTAGAAATTTAGTTGGGTATTTGTACTTTTTGATTTATTTGCGGCATATGCTGAGTAGCCCTTCAGGGAAGCTAGTGCAGATCGAGCACGCTTTGACAGCAGTTGGGTCGGGCCAAACCTCTCTGGGGATCAAAGGTAATGGTCATAGTGCTTTGTCTGCTTTATTTTAAGCTTACCCATTGAGTGATTAGTCCTTCTAGTGTTCTTAGTGATTAGTCCTGCTAGTGTTCTTTGTGCTTGTTCTAAGTGGTGCTTGTAATCTAATTGATTTGCTGAATCAGTCAGAAGATTATTGAAATATTGGTAGAATCTGGCATCTGGATGAAAAGCTAGGTTTTTTAATTTATTTGAACTTTATAGTGGATTGAGCTGAAAATTTTAAGATAAATTAATTCAGGTTATACTTTAGGCCCAAATGCATGATCTGATATTTGGATAGAACCTAATCAGAAATTTTCAGATGCAATGTTGAAGTGAGATAATGGTACAATTTGGATAAACTAGATCTTTGATTTGACATTTTTAATGATAAACATTGGAACTTTTGTTACGGACCAAATGTATACAGATATATTTAGAACGAACTACTAAGAAAATATTTGGTGGGAATTTAACCTGCTGATGTGATATGAAAGGAAAATTTAAAAGTTGGGCTGTCTATATCAGACATAGACATGGCTGTCTGTGTAATTGTGTGCGTGTTTACATGGTTACTGCAGCTGCTAATGGGGTTGTTATTGCAACTGAGAAGAAGCTACCTTCAATCTTGGTTGATGAAGCATCTGTAAGTCCTCTTGATCACTTGTGATGTTCCCTATTTAAATTTCACTAGTTTGATATTATCTTATATTACAATTTCTATCTGCTTGAGTTAAATGGAGACTATGTGTTAGAGCCTAGTGGCATAGCTTCTGGAGACTTGGATTTGTAATGAGTCATGATGATATGAGTTTGTATCACTTTTAGCATTAACTAACTTTTGGACCTACAAGATTTAAGTGCTTCACACCATATCTATGTTCTGAACAACATATTTTCTAAATAGGACTGTTTCTCATGTTTATGGAATGATTTGAATGGTTAATTTATCCCCCTTCTAAGATGTTGGTTTCTGATCGTATGTATTTTCTTTGGTCAGGTTAAAAAGATACAGAGTTTGACACCAAATATTGGAGTTGTTTACAGGTTTGTTTTTGTGTGATTCCTGTACTGAAGCCCATTATTTTCATAGTACTGAGTTACTTGTAGATAAATCTATTATTTTATCTTCATTCAGCGTGCAAGTCTTCTTACCATTAGTTTCTCTCCTGCAGTGGTATGGGTCCTGATTTTCGAGTCTTGGTTCGAAAAAGCAGGAAGCAGGCAGAACAATATCACAGATTATATAAGGTACTGAGTTTTTCTTCTCTCCTTATTTGATTATAACTTTGTGAGATGTGATGTGACAAAGTTTCATCATATTTTTTTCAAGTTCTTGCAAACTATAATAATAAGATGTGCTTGTATATTGTGAAGGTCTTAACTTGTATAAAACTATCATGTTTGTAGGAACCAATCCCTGTTACTCAACTTGTGAGGGAAACTGCGGCTGTTATGCAGGAGTTCACTCAATCTGGGTAGCTATCACTCTGTCCATGTTAATATAAAATGTGGTTCCCTTTTTGGACTGAAACAAATACACTAGTTCTTGGCCCATGTTTCGTCACATTGAGACTATGATCCATATATGAAACCAATGGCCTCTAATCGATGCTTTTTAAATTTACTGAAGTATTTTTCTCCCCTTTTCTTTGTAGTGGTGTAAGGCCTTTTGGGGTATCTCTGCTGGTTGCTGGGTTTGATGACAGTGGTCCCCAACTATACCAGGTATTTCCATTCTCCAATGTTTTATTAAATATTTTTATGGATCATTTCTCTATTTGTTGTTTCCGGTTGCAAGAGATGATGCCTTTTAAGGAAAGAACATCAATTTAAACAGAGTTTGGACCAAATTTTTAAAGCATATTTGGCTTCTGAACTTGCTTCTGCCCAATATTTGGTTGTGTTAAAGTTTGTTAAACAAAATTTTTTTGCACTCTGTAATCTTTAACATGGTAAGTTGACCAGTAGTAATCTTGCTTCAGCTTCATTCAAATAATTTCCAGCTCTCCATACAGTAGGTTGCACTCCTGAATTTGGTTGGCGTACTGAAACTCTTTTATCTGCCTGGAAAATGTATACTTCAGTGCTTTGCCTTTAGGACATGCACATTTTGAACTTTTCTCCTAAGAAGACTAGCTGAATATGAATCCAGTTGAATGGATTGCATCATTTGGCAGATAAATATATTTTCCAAACTTTTTTTGGTTTCTTGAATCATTTCCAGACAACTTCTGTTTGTTTTAATCATAACTCTATTCTAGTTGGTGGGAGAGAAGAAAATTCCTGTCCGGCGTTAGTAATATTTAAAAAATTGTATTCTGCCCTTTGTTGACAATAATATGAAAGCTGATTATGCAAATATTGATATTTTTAAATTTATTTCTCTGTAGGTTGATCCTTCAGGTTCATATTTCTCGTGGAAAGCCTCTGCAATGGGGAAGAATGTCTCAAATGCAAAAACATTTCTTGAGAAGAGGTACTAAGACATGGTTTTGGACATTTTGTCCATTTTAAGCCGACTAAAATGACATCTCTTCCTTCATGCATTGTATACTCTTTCATAAAAGAATTTAGGTGGGCTTTGGGGCTACTATTACAATTGTTTATTGTTTCTACATATACTATTAGGTGGTCTGTTCTCTGCCTAATCTGAGAATTTCTTATTCTTCCACACATGCTCTCAGTTTGGCTTGCCATAATGTTTTATGTATTTGACATCGCTGGTTTGATAACCAATAGGTAACCCTGCTAACTATAGAAATGTAGATAACAATGGCATTTTCTCTGGTTGTCATAAACCTCATGTAACGTCAAGCCTTTAAGCAATCATGATTTTTATATGTTCAAATAGAAACTTAACACGATACCCTTTCTTGGATGTCCTTTTCTGTCTTATGATTTCTATAGTTTAGCACTTGTATCATTTGGCATTTCTCAATTATTTTTGTTTGATACTTACGATTCAAATTTCTGTCTCACTTTGTTTATTGTTCTCAAAGGTGAAGTGTATCTTATTATTTATTTTTTTATAATTCAGGTATACTGATGATATGGAACTTGATGATGCTGTGCACACGGCTATTTTGACTCTGAAGGAGGGGTATATATACATAACCTTTTTTTATAAATGCATAATATGTAGGAGTCAGAAAGGGGAAGAAACTTGAAAAAGAAAATTGTTTTTGTGCTTCATTATAAAGTATTTGTTACTACTCGGGCAAATGCTGTGTGGAGTTCACCTTCAGTCAATCAATGATTGTTTCAGTGATGCAAGTTTCATCTTGCTTCCTGGCCAGCCAGTCAACAATCCGTTCAGTTATTACTTTCAAGTTCTTTATTTCTGTCAGCAGTCTGATTAGTTGCTTCATATTTGATGCAGATTTGAAGGACAAATCTCAGGAAAAAATATTGAGATTGGGATAATTGGCACAGACAAAAAATTCAGGCAAGCTCCATCTTTACTTCCTACTTTGGCAATAAATGCTTTGCTAATTATAAGTTAATATCCTTGCTTGATGAATTTCTGATTTTGAAACTATTCCAGTATTTTGTGGCTGAATTATCTTTTTATGCTCACTTTTCTGCAGAGTGCTAACCCCAGCAGAGATTGAAGATTATTTGGCTGAAGTGGAGTAGTGTGCCTGTTACTGCGGACAATTTGAAAAACCAAAAAAATTAATCAATCCAGTTTATGTTGTGAGATGGTTGCATATTCAGCAAAAATGATTTGGTATGGGATGCTATGCTGTGAGTCTTTAGGAACCAAATCACAAACTTTTGGGGCAGAAGCAGCGTAGTGCCATAATTTCATTTGTATTTGTTTGTAGCCTTACCTTTCTTACAATTCTGACACAAATTATCAATAGCTTTGAACTTCATTAAGACATTTACAGCGGACCCGAAATTCCTAGACTCATTATATCTATCAATTCCCCACTGCATGAATTTTAAGTGGAATTTCCAGGATTGGCTTGCCATTAGATGAATGTAATGTAGGCTTCATCAGTTCATTGACATTACCAATAGCTGATAGTTGGGAATGAACTACTTAAAAATGGCCTTTATTATGGCAATCATGTGCTAAACAAAACCCTTGAAAGAAGTACGTTGGAAAATATATCAATCATTTTATTGCAGTTGGGAATTAGAAGGTTGGCTCTGGCTGGACCTTAAGGAGGACTCAGAAATTATGTCACTGGCTACAATGTTTGCTATCTCTTCTGTTTCCTATTCCACCTCAAACAGAAAATCTACTGCTAGCAAGAGACTTGAAAGTTACTGAGCATAAAGATTCAAAGAGCTCAAGCGGAAAGTTATAGGGTCAATCAAAGGTTGAAAGTTACAGAGCATCAAGATTGAAAGAGGATGAAAGTCAAATAAATAAATAAAAACCTAGTAAACAATAACCCATCATGTAAGTGAGTGCCATTATAATTTACTCTAATCCCCATTCCTGGCTATATTGCTTGAACCCTTTTCAATCTCATTTCATTAAAAGTCACAAGGCTGGGTGGATGTGGATAAAAGAGTTTCTTCCAGCCTCCAGGGCTCTCTATTTGTGATCTTCCACAGTATCCTTCTTTTCATATCATATTTAAGAAGTCTCGTCCCCCCCAATGCAACATAAGTAGACCTAATTCAGCTCTGACAGGCTGAATTTTATCCTTCAAACTTGGATTGTCCTTCAAAAATTTCAAGGGAACTCTGATCAAGTTTTTACTCCATTTGCACTCCTTGAAGTCTTCCAACACCAATACATTAAGGACTTCCCCTGTTATATCACCAACAGCCAGACGTTGGTACCAGCGGAAAACAAAAACTTTTTTCAATTCTCCAAACACTCCCTGGGGCCAACGTCTGACTGTTGGTGATGTAACAGTGGAAGTTTTTGTTGTATGTAAAGTGTTTTGCGATAGGGTAAAATTTTCATTGAATCTCTTTGAATAACATTGGTATTTATAAGGATCCAATTCCTTTCCTAAATTAACGTTTTATGATTATTATTTGCAATAGGGTAAAATTTTCAGTGAATCTGGGTGGGTAAATAAGAATGAAAAGACAAAGAAAATGTGTTGTCCATATAAAAGGTGTGAGATATTTTGAAATTTATCTGTTTTGTCCTCACCCGTCCTGCATGTTATCAACACTATCTTCTTTCTTGCGAACTGAAAGCTCACAAAAATACCAAACTGGAAGCTCCTCCTCCACCTCCAACCATTCATGTAAGCTTCTTCTCTCTTCATTCACTGTCTGACTGTATCTTACATTTTTCAGTTTAGTTTGTGCATCAATTACCATCCTTTTCTCTAATGGAAATTTCATTTGGTAACTAAATAGGTTGATTGTTGAATGTGCAATCAGTTATATTTTCATTGGGCCAAGAATCTGTAGTAAGAGTAATTTCAGATGGAAAACCAAGAGTTCCAATGGAGCTGTCGAGAAGGGCAAGAGTGACGGCCTGTATATTGACAAACGTGGAAAATTCAGAAGCTTCAACAACAATAAAATGTCTAGGAAACGATGTAATCAGAACATTGTACTCATTTTGTTGTCTTAGCTATGATGTTATTGCATACACACACGTTCAAAAATGCAGACCATCTTCTTTGTCTAGGTGGTTCTCTAAGGGGGCGAGGATGGAAATATGGATCCGGGTTTGTTGATGGAGTTTTCCCAGTGATGAGCCCCACTGGTCAGCAGATTCTGGACCTTGTACAGAAGGAAGTTGATAAAAGCAGTATTTGGGAAATTCTTGATACACTTCCAGCCTCTCATACCATATGGGACGATATCATTAATGTCGCTGTTCAACTTCGTCTCAATAAACAGTGGGGCTCCATTATCTTGGTGAGAAACTAGTATTCCCCATCATGTTGAATTTGATTACTATCTAACATTGCACTTTGCAATTTGTCATATTTAGAATGATCAAAAGTTTGTGATATTTTGATGAACTTGATATTTCTGAGTGTAATGTTGTAATCATCTGTCCAGATATGTGAGTGGATATTGTACAAGAGCTCCTTCAAGCCAGATGTCATCTGCTACAATTTGCTGCTAGATGCTTATGGGCAGAAATCGCAACATAAAGCGGCAGAATCAACATATTTAGAACTTCTTGAAGCTCGATGCATCCCCACTGAAGACACTTATGCCCTTCTTCTGAAGGCCTACTGCAAGTCTGGATTGCTAGATAAGGCTGAAGCCGTCTTTGGTGAAATGAGAAAGTATGGTCTTCCTCCAAGTATGTGTCAGTTCCAATTTCTAGCTGCTTATATGAAAGGAAAAAGTTAATCTAAGGAGCTTGAAAAATCAAATAATGAATATTGTGGATCATTATCATCGTAATCATGTATATAAACGTTCTTTTAGCTTCTAATAACTGCTTCTGCCGTGAAATACTTTTCAATGTTGCTTGGTAAATCTTGTTTGAATCTCAAAATTCAAAAACCTTGGCCCCAGCTTGTTAGTTTATCAGATATGACTGATTGCATTTCCTTCAAACTAAGTACAATGTGAATTCATGCAGAAAGATCCTAATTTTACTCAGGTGCAATCGTGTTCGATGCTTATATTAATGGGTTAATAAAAGGAGGAAACCCTCAAAAAGCACTAGAGATCTTTCAGAGGATGAAAAGAGATCAATGCCAACCATCTACTGACACATATACGACGTTAATCAATTTATATGGAAAGGTGAGCCATATTGCTTTTTAGTACTTTCTGCAAGCTTGAAGTCCTCTGCTTTTCTAATGATCGTCTACTGATATAGTTCACTGCTTCAGATTACTAACAAGCAAATGTTCTATTTCTTGCTTGCTTATTAAACAATACAACAAAATGTTCCTCAAAATTTAAGATCTGTGCAGGAAAGAAAATCCTACATGGCTTTAAAGCTGTTTCTCGAAATGAGAGGTCAGAAATGTAAACCCAACATATGCACGTATACTGCTTTGGTAAATGCATTTGCTAGGGAAGGACTTTGTGAGAAAGCAGAAGAAATATTTGAGCAGATGCAAGAAGCAGGACACGAGCCTGACGTTTATGCTTATAATGCACTTATGGAAGCTTACAGGTTAATATCTACTGAATTTGGTGGTTTAATGTTCCACGAATATGCAATCATTTCAGAATATATTACTACACCTCCTTGATAAGCAACTTCAAACAATATGTCCAAGCTGTTTCAATATACACCCAAACTTCTTTATGATTTTTCTCCCTACAGTCGTGCAGGTTTTCCTTATGGGGCTGCGGAAATTTTCTCTCTCATGCAGCACATGGGATGTGAACCCGATAGAGCTTCATATAATATCATGGTAGATGCATATGGGAGAGCTGGTCTTCATGAAGGTAAATATTAACATTCAGACTTCAAGGCACCTTTGTGATTGCAAATGAAACTATTATGGATAAGTCTGTTTTGTTCAGTGCTATTATGTTCTTATGATAGAAATAACTTTATCATCATTGTCTTCTATTATATTTCTCGTTCCATGCATAATTCTATAACCATTGCAGCATTCTAAATTCTAACCATCTTCATTTATATTAACTGTTTCATGTATGCATTTCAGATGCAGAAGTTGCATTTGAAGAGATGAAGCGATTAGGAATAACCCCAACAGTGAAATCCCATATGCTGCTTTTATCTGCCTACTCCAAAGCTGGCAATGTAACAAAATGTGAGGACATTGTGAACCAGATGCAAAAGTCTGGACTGGAGCTAGACACCTTTGTCATTAACAGTATGTTAAACCTGTATGGCCGGTTAGGTCAGTTAGAAAAGATGGAGGAAGTTTTGACTGCAATGGAAAAAGGACCATATGCAGCTGATATCAGTACATACAACATCTTGATTAACATATATGGACGGGCAGGGTTTTTCGAGAAGATGGAAGAGCTCTTTCAATCACTTCCAACCAAAAACTTAAAACCTGATGTTGTGACTTGGACTTCTCGTCTTGGAGCATACTCTAGAAAGAAACTATACAAAAGATGCTTGGAAATTTTTGAAGAAATGATCGATGCTGGTTGCTACCCAGATGGTGGAACTGCCAAAGTACTTCTTGGAGCATGTTCAAGTGAAGATCAAACCGAGCAGGTTAGTACTGTTATTAGAACAATGCACAAGGATATCGGGACTGTTTTACCTATCTGATGGATGGATTTTATTAATTTTGACCATAAAGATAGATATTCTATATATATGCAGCAAACAAGTTTCCTCACTTGAATTTATTCAGGACAAATATTCTGGATTACATTATGGTCATCCTTGTATAGTTATAGTAGATTGCAAGAAGTTTGTCATCTTTTTCATATTAGGAGTTGAAAGGCCGTCTTGCATTATGCCCTTGATTTGCAAGTTGCTAAGTTCTAACAGAGGAGGATCCAAATTTATCTTAAGTATTGGAACTTGTAGTGAAATGATCCAGATTTGCAAGTGAACCCCTCCTTAGGTTTTCTTTCTTTCTCACAAACATCACAAACTGATTCTTCTGATGCCTCATCCTCTACAAATTATACAGAAGGGAATGGGGATGCAAGTGACTTAAGTGTTTTACCTTCTGTGGTAGGTGAAGGTATTTTAATCCTTTGTTTCAAATGAAAAGGTAGGACTGCTTGTGCTGATAACAAAGCACAATGGATGTGAAGGTCAAAAACTAGGCATATACTACAATGAAACAAAAAGCATCACCACATGCATTTTGAATACAGAGGCCACTGAAGTAGGTTCAGAAAAGTCAGAAGGTGTTTTAGGTGAAGGGGATGCCCTATCTCTGTATAGGTAACCCCAGCACACAACTTGTGAAAGAAAAAAACCACAATGGTTGCAGCTGTAGACAACAGGATCCGATAACGGATGCTCATAACATCCATCTCTTCATCAGGATCATCACA